TACATGTGTGTGTGAGGGTGTGAGAGTGTGTTTGTGCCCAAATTGTCATAATACAACATGTATCTCTGTGTGTGAGGTTGTGAGATTGTGTGTGTGCCCAAATTATTGTCATCATACAACCCAAGTTAATGGTTTGATTTAATTCGGCAGACCGTTGGTATTATTGGACAAATACACAACACAGATAAAAACAATGAACCAAACAATTCGCTATAGCTGGACCGAACCCTGAATCATATCAACAGAAGATATAAAATGAGAAACGTGATCCAAGTTTGAGAACCCTTGACTCCAATACTTCAGTTTCATCTTGTTGGTTTGTTTTTCTCCAGACTTCTCAATTTTAATAGGAACCTGAGTTCAGAGACCACCTTTGTGAAGTTTTTGAAGTGGTCCCTTAATATGGATTAAGTTATTATGGAAATAACAGCAATGAATGTTTTTAGGTCACCTGAGCTTTAGCTCAAGTGACCTATTGCTATCCGTTTTCGTCCGTCGTCGTCCGTCGTCCGTCGTCCGTCGTCCGTTAACATTTTACATTTCAAACTTAAAGTCAAGTTCTGCTGGGCCGATTGAACTGAAAGTTGGTAGGAATGATCGCCTCATGGTCCTGACAAAGTGTTGTTATTTTTCGGGTCGATCAGAAATCCAATATGGCCGCCACGGCCGCCATTTTGAAAACCTATTTCAAACTTAAAGTCAAGTTCTGCTGGACCGATTGAACTGAAAGTTGGTAGGAATGATCGCCTCATGGTCCTGACAAAGTGTTGTTATTTTTCGGGTCGATCAGAAATCCAATATGGCCGCCACGGCCGCCATTTTGAAAACCTATTTCAAACTTAAAGTCAAGTTCTGCTGGACCGATTGAACTTAAAGTTTGTAGGAATGATCGACTCATGGTCCTGACAAAGTGTTGTTATTTTTCAGGTCAATCATAAATCCAATATGGCCGCCACGGCCACCATTTTGAAAACATATTTCAAACTTAAAGTCAAGTTCTGCTAGGCCGATTGAACTGAAACTTTGTAGGAATGATTGACTCATGGTCCTGACAAAGTGTTGTTATTTTTCGGGTCGATCAGAAATCCAATATGGCCACCACGGCTGCCATTTTGGTAAACTATTTCAAACTTAAAGTAAAGTTCTACTTGGCCGATTGAACTGAAACTTTGTAGGAATGATCGACTCATGGTCCTGACAAAGTGTTGTTATTTTTCGGGTCAATCAGAAATACAATTTGGCTGCCATGGCCGCTATTTTGCTACTAAATTCTAATAGGCCGATCTCACTTAAAATTGGTCTAGGAATGATCAGCTCATGGTCCTGACAAAGTTAAGTTAACATTATACTATTTTTTACTCAAATTGGTACATATTTCAACAAACAAACAAAAATACTGTAGACTCAGGTGACCGTTAAGGCCCATGGGCCTCTTGTTTAATTTGGTCTCATACTTAACACAGGTGGTCTACTCTTGATAGAGATGTCCTTTCAATAGGGATCTAATAGAATCTTTCACCCCCTTGTGTATCATATACACAAATTCACAATGTAATGATAACGTTACATACTAAATTCAGGATTGATGTATTGTTGACAAGACGTCATTGTATTGTTGAAGTGACGTCATGCCATTGTTATGAATAGGGGATACACCTGTCCAGGATATGAGAAAACTTTATCTCCTTTTCTCCAGAAGTCAATTTCAACTACCAAACTGCTATCTGTACTTGTATCTAAAATACTAACCTGGTTCTATGTGGTTTGTATCATCACCTGTCTCACATTTGATAAATGTCACACTGTCACCCTTTGAACAATTTTTTGTGCATCAAAATTAGTCTACAGGCTCCATCCATACTAGAAAATTCATTGTCTGGCAAAATTCTTTTGTTCTAACCTATTTGTAACAATTGAATAAAATCTGTAGGTTGTAACCCCTTTTTGTGGGTTTCCTGTGTCTCAAAACCCGTAATTGAAAACCTATATAACCTCTTGTGATCCTTTGAACCCTTGGCACTAGAATCATTCCTATTGGCCTACTGACAGCGTTCCCTCCCAGCCGGAAAATATCCCTATCAGTCGATCAGTAAGTTGTAGTAGGATGTTGACCTAAATCCAGGGGAAAAAATGAGAAAGGAAATCAGGTCACATGGACCAATTAGATCCCCTTGTGGGATTCAAATGTCTGTTTGATGCCATGGAAACAAATCAATGTTTGTCCCTGCTCCAGGAGACCCAGTAGATAGAGACTTCACATGTATTGGTTTTATTTGTTCCTGCATAATATGGCATATTTTATATACAGCTCTTATGGTTCTTTATCATAACCTCCTGCAAAAAGATTAGGGGGAAATATACTTAAATCAGACTTGTCTGTCGATCTGTTTCTCTTGACCAATGTCTGTCTCAAAATCTTGTTTGGACAATTCTTCATTAAATAATGAGCCAATTTTAACAAAAGTTTATATGCATGATTGGTACATGATGTATTTCAGCACCCAAAACTGAGTTTCAGTTTACGAGTATATGGGAGTATATGACCTCCTAATATGGCTTTTGACCCTCAAAATGTTGGAGGCTTGCTACTTCAAGATGGCCACCATGGCCTCTGACTGGCTGAAACAAATGTGGTTATAATTATACTTAACCTAGAGTTCAATGGAGCCGACTATAGAGGAAATACTGAATATTGAAAAATAGACTTTAGTTTCGGAATTCAAGATGGCCACTAATTATGGTATCTGATTGGCTGAGGGTTGATTTTGTTTTTGGGGAGGGGGGGTTATGATATCAAACTATGTGTTTTATTTCCTAAGAAAGATTTCTAGTTTTAGGAGTGTCACAAGTCCATTCAATCTTTAAGTCAACTAAAATCAATTTCTTATTTCTTTCTATTTAAACCAATTAATTGTTGTTGACTTTTATTTTAAATAAACCATAATTAAAGTGATATTCAAATTCAAATTTTAAGAACAAATTCAAATTTCGATTTTCAAAATATTTGATGAACCAGACAAATAAAGAATCATAATTGGTATATTCCATTTGCCAGGTGCTGGGTATAGAAATGTTTTTTTGACGTAAGAAAATTTTATTGATTAAAAAATAGAAAGGGGTTATAAAAAAAAACTGGATAGTACATTATTGACTTTATATCAAGTTAAGCTAGTAAAGCATCACTATGAACTTTTGGCCTTTGAGTAATTGAGATGATATCAGAGAAAAATAATATTCTAATACGGCAGACACTGCATCATTGATTGATTTACGATCCAATACATTTTGTTTAGTACCGGCCACAACTAGAGGTAATGAAGTGAGAAATTTATTCAGTTTGGGACACAAAGTCACCATCCAATAAACAGATCAGCATTATTGATAAACTCGGTAAATAAATCCAGGCTTCACAACATCTAGGCTTCAACTTGAACAATTTTACAATACCTGGTATAATAATTCTGGTCTACTGGTCCACAGGGATCAAGAAGTAGAGACATACGATCATTGTTTCTTAATGAATACGGAGGGTATCAGGGTATCGGCTATCTTTTGTGGAGTGGAATATCACTGACATTTATAAAGGATGGAAAATTGTAGCGAATGAGTAGGTGCAATGTTCCTAGTTTTGCTAAACACTTAACAGTTATATTAAAATTTAATATTACACTAATACAATATAGACATGGACAATAGTTTTAAATAGTCCAGGAATGTCACATTAGCCATGATCTGGTATGGTATTGGACTTTAATAAAGCTACAGAGATTATAAGTCGGCCTGAATATTGATTTGTTTATATATTTTGCGATCAGAGGTTAATTGTATACAAAATATTGTAGTTGGTATATATATAAGTATTCTGCTTCTCTTTGGAGCTTGTAAAGTTTTCTTTAGAAACAGAAGATCAAGTGTTTTAGCAGATCGAGAAGCATAATAATCGGTTAACCCTTTCACCACTATAGACCATAATGGACCTATCCAGATCAATGCATAGTAGAGTTTATTAAAGTTACATAGGGGTGAAAGAATTAACGATTTGTCCAGAGATTTCCATTAGGAGATTACACATACTGTACTTACACCCTAGGGAAAAAAAACACTTTTTAAATGGCATCTTCTGAGCTGTTCTTTCAGATGAAATCATCAGGTCTTAGAAAATAGGATCATTTAGCAAATTCATGAGTTGAAAATGCTCAAATCTAGAGTCAAAATCGGGAGTCTCCCTCCAAAAAAGAGAGAGTCTACAAGTATAGTATTGTGTCCAAATTTCAGTCTTTGATCTGGTGCATTTTTTTGTTCTGCTTCCCCAAAAATAGACGTGGGGGTATGAGAAATCAATTATTTCTAGCACGGCCCTTTTAATCTTTTAGAGTAATTTAGTTATTTGCAGAAAAGTTTAAGAAGAATTTTACATAAAGCTGGCAGTAAACAGGGCCTGTATGTAAATAACAACACTCATGATCACTGATAGAATTGACCTGAAGGGCAAGGCCAGCACTGACCCATTGAGTGGGCAGTATAATGTAAGTGGTCAGTATTATACTGTGATACACATTTTTCCATGATTAAGTCCAACAGAGCATGAATTTGTTGTAGAGCACTAGATTAACTCAATGTGTCCCCGCATGAGGGATTGTTAGGGGTGTTTTTCTATTTTAAAGGCTAATCAATCTCCCTTTAAACTTCAGGCAAAGCAAATAAAAATGTGTTGCAAAATCAGAATGTTGGCAACTAAATACTTGATTAACTGATCACTTAGAAACTATAATTTAAATTAAAGTTAAATTGAAGCAAAAATGTGAAAAAAGTAGGTAATCGGTGGCAGATTTAGGAAGGGAACCAAACCCCTAATCAATCCACTTCAAATGCATCGTGTAGAATCACAGAGCTTTATGCCATAAATATTTTCGACCATATCTGAATGTGAAATAGCTGAAATATACTTAGAATGCCGGACTTTGCATGCGTAACTCCAAATGTTTTTACCCCTTTTGCAGGCATGAATTGCACCGCTGTCCTTTGATCGACCCTCAGATGTTGTCTTCGTCAGCAGTTATGAGATGACATTTACAAAAAAGTTGTATACCCCAAAGGTTTGAATTTCCCCACAAACATTTTAAAAAGTTGGATTTAAATATTGGACTGTAACAAGAAGCTTGACGCAACATGATCCAGCAATTTAAGTTTTAAATTAGTCATAAAACTTTGATGTTCGTATGCAAAACTTGGACGGTAAGCACATATTTTTTCATTTCTGCCTTATTGGTGTACTGTATGACATGAGCAAACTCCATGTGGTCAGTTGGTCAGTTTTAATACATAGTGACCAGTCAGCAGAGGAATGTGTACTCTTGTTGACAACTTTCACCTAATTCCAGGTGAGTTATGCACAGGTGAGCTGACCTTGAGTAATATACACCTGAAGTCCAAAATCACTGGACTCATAGATATACAGGTAGAAGTATATTCAACCATGTCCAAACACTTCAGCAGCCAGAATATGAGATATTGTATGTACGGGAAATGTGACTAAATACACCTATAACGGAATATAAAATATAAAGCATAAAATTTAAATTAATATCCGGCTGTTTTGATCCAGTTCTGCTCTGCTCTGCTGACTGAGCTAAAGGGAATTTCCCACTAGTGTGACCAGGATCCAATGTACAGTTGAAATTAAACCTGCCACACACATGAAAACACACACAGGGTTTCATACCACTGATAGTTATATTTTTGTAAAAAAAAGAACGAATCTTGCAGCTACTAGTATACACAAAAGTAGTTGCCAAGGTAGAAAGCACAGTGTTCACCCTGAAGATTATTCCGACTGTTAATAGATAAATGATACAAAATTCTTAGACTACTGATGCTGTAGCCTAGACTTGGCAAATTGCAAATATTCCTAACCCAAACTTTCAAACTGTGACATATATAGTGGCTACCTGACAGCTAGAGGACAAAGCTACAATCTCATTCAATTGAAACCAAAGGAGACTTCAAATAACAAATGCAGGACATGCCTATGGCATGTGAATAATGCATAGTCAATGTCACAGATGGCCGAATCATTATCTCATAGTAAGCTTGATCTATATAAATTATATAAAAGATCATACAAAAACAGTCATAATGTTACTATACTCTGTATGAATATTCAGTGTCAGATATCAAAACTGCTATAGCATGAAACTATTGAAACACGGAAAAAATATCTGGCCCTTGTAGATTGTTGAAAATGCAAGAAGCTGGGAGTGCAGTATTCAATCTCAAAATCTCCAAATTTTAGACAGATGCTTTATTTACTTGCAGTTCAACATTGTCATTCCAGTTCTGCTCTTTTGAGGTTTTTTTACTCGTACTATTTACAGAACTGGTTCAGGCTTGGATTCAAGCATCAGTTTGAAAACAGGACAGAAAAAGTGAAAATTTGGTCCTGGGGACCTTTGATAAATCTTTATTTACCCTTCCCTATCCCAAACGAGGAAAAAGAACATGTATATGAGAATTTTTAAACATAGTTTTTATCAACAACCCATAATGTCTGCAAAGATGTACAAGGTATTTTATGTTATGTTTCATGTTGAAAATAGATTCAGACTCTTTAAGCTAATATTTTATTTGTTTGGTGGATGGGAGGAAAATGAAAAGCTTCAGAATTAACATAGAGGATTCATCTGCCATGTAACTTAGTGTCAATTTTCCAGACGGAAGCCATACTACTGACTAAACTTAATGAGCTAAATGAGTCTACACAGGTACAAACATGTGTAGCAAACGTTTTCGTTTTCACTTTATTTGCGTGAGATTTTTCTATTAAGATAAAAGACATGGTTGATTGGATTTCAGCCATTACCATATAACATTGTTTATGACATAAGCTTACTGAGGTAAGGAGTCCTATAGGCCTTTAGAAAAGTGTTTCTAGACAATTATCTAATATTTAAAAAATATTTGTTTAACAAGGGATTGGGCTCATATTACCGAGCTGGTAAAGCAAAGTAGTTAATAACCTTACATTTATTATTACAACTTTGGGACAACTAGCTGTTTAAACATAGAATAATAATGAATTAGTAAAGGACTTTTGTTACCAGAAATTTGTGACTGCAACCAGGAAAATGAAAAGCTGCAGTATAAACTTCACAATGCCATGAGCATATTTCTACTTTGCACAGACGTGCATTCACCTTTCTAAAATATATATCACAGTATTTCTGTCAACATAAACATTTGTATGTCACAAATTAATTGAAAAATAAAGATATCACAAATGTCCACAGGAGGTTTGAGTTTTACAGCATGTAGCATGGTTGAGCAAAAATTACTTATACTCTCTTGTAATTAAGAAACTGAATCTTTTTTTCAACATGACACACATGGAATTCCATTAATGACAAATGTCTTTAAAAGCTTTGAAGTTGGTAAAATAATTTAAGCTGAGAAACTGTTAGATTTATTAACAGTGTGTGAGATTTATTACTTGTGTGTGATCTGAGGGCATGATTATAACTGGCGGTTAATGATGTGTGGACATGATGGTTAGGGGGGTAGTGCTAATTGTAGGGGAGTAGCAGCCAATATACTCTGAAGGAACATTCCTTGTATCACGGTAGACGTTTATGGATGAGGTTTAGTACTGTTTAATATAAATGATTTGTCTGTGCCAGAGGCAGGCATATGTCCCAAGTTGCCTGGCTGTAGAGTTGAATCGGAGAAGATGGAACCCATATGTACAGTAATGATCTCCACACCTTTACTGATTAATCCTAATAGTGAGGGTTACAGGTTTTATGCCACACTGAACTCTACATGCACCATAATTAAGCCCTATAAATCTGGACCTTGTCCCCCTCCCCTCCCCCCTCCCCCCTTGTCCTTCACCATCTCTTCTGGTTCACTTATTGCCGCAGGGTAAACTGGCCAGTATGTGTGCTTCTCGAAACTGAGGTACAATATATGATCCAGATTTTATCTTGGTAGGGTTTATAAAAGACATAATTTTCATTAGCTGTGTCCACCATCAGCTTTGTATTCTTCAGAACAATCATGGGTGTTTACATTAATATTTGATGTTTAAAGGCCTGTAACTATTAGTAAGGGTGGAAGAGGAGCAAGTTTGCACAAGTCACTAACATTGTTGACCTACATAAAGGTATCCTAGTGGTCAGGTGGTATCCTAGTGGTCAAATATGATAGAAATTTCACATTTTTTTTCACAAAACTATCGGAATTAGAGTTGTAATATTTGACTTCTACCTACCTAGATCTACCTGGATTCGGTCTATATAAGACATTCCCATTTCTTGACTACCTTGAAATGTTTTTCCTTGATTGATTAGGTTGCATCCTCTACTCAGTGGTTTATCTTAATATTGGACTTGTATATTGGTTGAATTAAAGACTCAAATTTGTTCAAGTAATTGACCTTAACATACCAAATGTCTATCAACCAAATAACTATCAACAATGTTCTCCTCGAAGGAATTTAATAGAATATATAGTAACTGTAGTCACTCGAGACCCAAGCTTTCAGGCTTATTTGAAAACAGATGGTAATTGGCACACCCAGTCTAGGACCAGAGTGGGCTTATGCTATATCATGTTAGCCATCATCCATCCATCATCAAGTTATTTTAAATGACTTCTTTTGAATCACTGGACAGCATTTCACTATGTTTGACTGTAAGCATAAACACAAAGGCTGAAAGGTTGGACCAAAATGCCATTATAACTTTGAAATTGTTTAGATTCAAACCCTATAACCATGTATGAAATTACTTGGCAGGAGGAGACCAATGCTGTGAGGGATGGTATTCATGGAACCGTTCTCGTCCTCAAGCATGGATTCTGTGCTCAAACCTTCTTTCTTGCAGCTGGCTTAAAATCATGTTACACGGTCAAAAAGTCCAGTTTAAACAATGAAAATGGTATTCAGCCCCAGGACTCTCCCGAACTCTTCCAGATCACGGACAAAATGTAATTTTCATTTATTTGTCACTGGAATAAGAAAATGGGCATAAGCACAAACTCGGACTTTGAGAATGAGAAGGGTTTCGTGAATACAGGCCCAGGTATCCTACAAGGGTACACACATGCTTCCAGGTTTGCCTCCATGGTCTGGCACCACCCCAGGAGACTTGATCCTTTGGTAATACTTTTGAAATGTTTGAGATCCTACCCAATAACCATATATTCAATTGCAAATAAAGTTACAGTATGCTACAAAGAATTGACCTTAGGTTCTGGCCTCTTATATACGAGGGGCAGAGGTGGCCAAGAGGTTAAGGCGTCTGTCATTCTGCTACCACTATCCCTCCACCGCTTGGTCATGGGTTTGAGACCTACGTGGGGCAGTCGCGAAGCACTGGCCGTTGGTCGATGGTTTTTCTCCGGGAACTGCAGCTTTCTTCCACCACCAAAACCTGGAACGTCCTTAAATGACCATAGCTGTTAATAGGATGTAAAACACAAACAAGCCAAACCTTATATGGATTTAAATCCTCGCTCATAGCATGAAAGTGTTTGAGATCCCCACTGTGATACACATATGAAACCAAATTACCCAAGAATCTGGGCCAACACCAGGAGATTAAGTCCCCTGGCTCATAACCTTGAATAAGTTGAGACGATCATCCCATAAGCATATAGAATTGGTGGCATAAAAGACAAACAGATATGTTGCCAGAATTGGCTTTTAAGTCTGTCCCACTTTAAAAACTTAGTCTTTTGGTTATAACATGGATACAGTTGTGATCCCCAATAACATGAATTCAGGCGAACAATACAGGCCATCAAGGCCTCTTGTTTACTCTTGTTTCCTAGATCCTCAGAATGTTGGAAAATGAAACCATGCTAATTGTGAAAAGTTGTGATTGTTTCTGAATTCAAGACCAGCGAGGGACAAGGTTTGGAAAGGCAGGCTTACAACACTAGAAAATTAAGGTTGACAGCTAAGACCACAATTAGCAAATTGGGGGAGCCACTAGCTAAGAGAAATACATAAATTGGTTATTTTAGCCTATTATGGTATGGGATTTCAACCATCAGTTTCTTGACATTTTACTATAATGGTACTGCCTCAGATGCTTGT